TGAGGGGCTGGGGAGGTGGCTCAAGCGGTAGCGCTCTCGCCTGGCATGCATGCGGCCGGGGTTCGATCCTCAGCACCACATACAAACAAGATGTTGTGTCTGCCGAAAACTAAAAAATAAATATTAAAAAAAATTCTCTATCTTTAAAAAAAAAAGAAAATACTTCTGAGTACGCTACCCAATATCCTCTGAATCATAAGGTTTCACCTTTGTCTAGTCCCAGCCTAGTGTGAGCACCAGGAGGGAGTGTTTCACCAGTTCCTTTCCCTGGGTGTTTCTTCCCCTAGCATTGATTAGTACTCAGCATAAAACTTTAGGGAAACCCTGTGCAGATCTCCAGAGCTTACTGTGTCACTTTCCATTTGCTATAGATTTCTTTTCTTTGGCATTCTGTCCTGAAATTCCTAGTTGCTTTGGCCTCCCTGGATTCTCAACTCTAGTCTCTTTAGCTTAGAGAGATCATGAGGCTCTATATGTAGGGTTATTCCTCCCTGTGCTGTTGCTGGAAAGTTGCTCCAGATAATAAGCCTAAGTAATCATGAGACTTGCCTTGATTCCCTTCTCTTAGCAGTCTCCCTTCTGCATTGCTTATTTCCTGGTGTCCAAATATTTTTCAGGTTTTTCTTTGGTTTACTAGATAGTAGAGGGACAAGAGAGAAAACAGGAATACCAATGAGAAAGTGATTTCACTTTATTCAAATAAGAGATGAGTGGAAAGAGAAAGATCATTCCATTCACAAATGCTCTACAGGCTGGGGTAGTAACAGGGATGGAGGTAATGAGAATTGTTTAGTCTCAGGATATATATATATATTACCTTTATTTGATTTATTTATTTTTATGTAGAGTTGAGGATCAAACCCAGTGCTTCATACTTGCTAGATGAGTGCTCTACCACTGAGCCACAACCCAACCCCTAGACTCAGGATATATTTTGAAGCAACAGAAATTGCTGCTTGTTTTGGATGTGGGTTTCAGAAAAAGACAAGAATCAGTGAAGATATGTGGGGTTTACCAGAGCATTAGGATGAAGGTGATATCATGTCATGAGAGAGATACAAGGCAGGGAAGAGTAGCAGGTATTAGAGGAAATTCAGGAGTTCTATTTTGGAAATGTTACTTGAGATGCCTTTTACACATCCAGGTGGAAATGTCAAGAAGGCACTTGGATATGAATTTTGCACTAAAGAAAGAGCAAAGAGCTAGCAATGAAATGCTGAATATCATCAGCATCCACATGGTTTTGAAAGTTATGAAACCAAAAAAACAAAAACAAAACAAACAAACAAAAAAACACCTCGTCATTCAGGGAGTGAGTGTTAAGAAAAGAAGAAATTATATTTCAGACCTGAGCCCCCATAGCATCAAGTCATTTAGCAGTCAAGAAGAGAAGGAAGCAGGAAAAGAAAATGAAAAATGAACTGCTACTGAGAGAAAAGGAAACCTAGGAAAGCACCTTGTCTTGAAACTAAATAAAAAAGAGTCTCATGAAGAATCACACAGACTTTAGGAACGAAAGAAGCCAGGCATACAGTATATAATTGCATTTATATGAAATCCAACAGCAAACAAAATTATGACATGGTAATAAAAGAAAGTGGTTGGGGTTGGGAGGTGTGGGCGGTGAGTGGAAAGAGGCACAGGGAACTTTCCTGGTTACTAGAAATATTCTGTCTATCGTTTGTGATGTTTTTATATGGGTAGAATATGAATTTTAAAGAAAGGAGTTATGTTTGTCAAATGATAAGTTTACATAAGATAAAGACTACCCTGTGTGCATATATGATTACATGACCTGTGTAACTCTATATCATGTACAACCAGAAGAATGAGATGTTATAATCTATTTATTTTTGATATTTCCAAATGCATTCTACTATCATGTATAACTAATTAGAACTAATTTAAAAATATAATAAAGGTCAAGATTTACATATTGGTCAATATATAGTCACATATATACACACAGTAATATTAATGTCTGTTTCATTCTACTATCCTTCCTATCCCCCCATCTCCTTTCCTCCCCTCCCTTCCAATCACTTCTCTCTACCTAATCTAAGGTAATGCTATCCTCTCTTTTTTTCTCTCACATCTTCATGCATGTGTTTTGTATAACGATGAGGGTCTCCTTCCACCATCCATGCAATTCCCCTTCTCCCTCCCTTTCTTTCCCACTCCTCTTCCTTATGTAGAGGTAATCTTCTTACCCTGCTCTTTCTCCCTATCCCATTTTGAGTCACCCCCCTTATATCAGAGAAGACATTCGGCATTTGTTTTTTAGGGATTGGCTAACTTCACTTAGCATAATCTGCTCTAATGCCATCCATTTCCCTGCAAATGGCATGATCTTATTATTTTTTTAGTGCTGAGTAATATTCCATTGTGTATATATGCCACATTTTTTTTATCCATTCATCCATTGAAGGGCATCTAGGTTGGCTCCACAGTCTAGCTATTGTGAACTGTGCTGCTATAAATATTGATGTGACTATGTCCCTGTAGTATGCTGTTTTTAGGTCCTTTGGGTATAGTCCGAGAAGAGGAATAGCTGGGTCAAATGGTGGTTCCATTCCCAGCTTACCAAGGGATCTCCATACTGTTTTCCATATTGGCTGCATCAATTTGCAGTCCCACCAGCGGTGTATGAGTGTATCTTTTCCCCCGCATCCTTGCCAGCACTTATTGTTCTTTGTCTTCATCATGGCTGCCATTCTTACTGGAGTGAGATGGTATCTTAGAGTAGTTTTAAGTTGCATTTCTCTGATTGCTAGAGATGATGAGTATTTTTTGGTATATTTGTTGCTTGATTGTATATCCTCTTCTGAGAAGTGTCTGTTCAGGTCCTTGGCCCATTTGTTGATTGGGTTATTTGTTTTTTTGGTGTTTAGCTTTTTGAGTTCTTTGTTTACCCTAGAAATTAGAGCTCTATCTGATGTGTGAGGGGTAAAAATTTGTTCCCAGGATGAAGGCTCCCTATTTACCTCACATATTATTTCTCTTGCTGATAAAAAAACTTTTTAGTTTGAATCCATCCCATTTGTTGATTCTTGGTTTTAATTCTTGGGCTATAGGTGTCTTATTAAGGAAGTTGGGGCCTAGCCTCACGTGATGGAGATTAGGGCCTACTTTTTTTCTATTAGACACAGAGTCTCTGGTTTAATCCCTAGATCCTTGATCCATTTTGAGTTAACTTTTGTGCATGGTGAGAAATAGGGATTCAATTTCATTTTGTTGTGTATGGATTTCCAGTTTTCGCAGCACCATTTGTTGAAGATGCTATCCTTTCTCCAGTGCATGCTTTTGGCACCTTTGTCTAATATAAGGTAATTGTACTTTTGTGGGTTAGTCTCTGTGTCCTCTATTCTGTACCATTGATCTACTAGCCTGTTTTGGTGCCAGTACCATACTGTTTTTGTTACTATTACTCTGTAGTAGCTTAAGGTCTGGTATAGCGATACTACCTGTTTCACTCTTCCTGCTTAGAATTGCTTTAGCTATTCTGGGTCTCTTATTTTTCCAGATGAATTTCATGATTGCTTTTTCTATTTCTATGAGGAATGCCATTGGGATTTTGATCAGAATTGCTTTGAACCTGTATAATGCTTTTGGTAGTATGGTCATTTTAATAATATTAATTCTGCCTATCCATGATCAAGGTAGATCTTTCCATCTTCTAAGGTCTTCTTTTATTTCTCTCTTTAGGATTCTGTAGTTTTCATTGTAAAGATCTTTCACCTCTTTTGTTAGGTTGATTCCCAAGTATTTTATTTTTTATTTTTTGAGGATATTGTGAATGGGGTAGTTTTCCTCATTTCCTTTTCAGAGGATTTGCCACTGATATACAGAAATGCCTTTGATTTATGGGAGTTGATTTTATATCCTGCCACTTTGCTGAATTCATTTACTAGTTCTAGAAGTTTCTTGGGTCTTCTAGATATAGAATCATATTGTCAGCAAATAGTGCTAGTTTAAGTTCTTCTTTTCCTATAGTTATTCCTTTAATTTCTTTCCCTATCTAATTGCTCTGGCCAGTGTTTCAAGAACTATGTTGAATAGAAGTGGTGAGAGAGGGCATCCCTGTCTTGTTCCAGATTTTAGAGGGATACAAACCAGTTTTGTAGAAGAAACCTAGGCCTGTTCTGAAATTTATGATAAAATGAGATTACTTACTTTATTGATTAAGCTGTTATAAAAATAATAATTTAAAATTCCATAGATTAAGTTAATATTTCCGTATCTTATGACAAGAACATTAATTTCGTGAGATAGGAGATTTATTTATTTCTGCATGCTGGAGATTAAACTCAGGCCCTTACACATGCTAGGCAAGTTCCTTACCACTGAGCCCCAAGTCTTGATAACAAAATATTTTAACTTCTGTTTATTTTCTAAATAAAATTGCCTTTTTCCCTCCCTTCCTTCCTTCCTTCCTTCCTTCCTTCCTTCCTTTCTTCCTTTCTTCCTTCCTTCCTTCCTTCCTTCCTTCCTTCCCTCCCTCCCTCCCTCCCAGGGGCACTTAACCACTGAGCCACATTGAACCACATCTCTAGCCCTTTTTATTTTTTATTTTGAGACAGGGTTTCTTACAGCCTCGCTAAATTGCTGAGGCTGGCTTCAAACTTGCACTTCTCCTACCTCAGCCTTGCAAGCCGCTGGGATAACAGGCGTGCACATGGTTTTCTTCATTTGATATCATTTCAAACATGGTTGTTACCCTTAGAGAGCTTCTTGTTTGTTTAAGAAGCAAACCAAAACATTGGCAAAGCGCAATGGCAATGCAAGACAAAAGTCAAGGCAGCAACAAAATTTATTGCAAGGTGGAACACACTAAATTATGTAATATAACTGGGACAAGCAGTAATTGCTGATTAAGTCCATTTAAAATGGTATACTGCTCAGCCCATATGCTAGTGTCACTCTTTTGTTCCTCCATAGCTACTCAAGGTGTCTGGGATCATGGTGTCCCTGTTATAACTGACATTTTGCTTTCATTGCAGTTGTCGGACAAGTAACCGCAAGAGCTTGATTGTGACTTCTAGCACATCTCCTACACTACCACGACCACACTCCCCACTCCATGGCCACACAGGTGAGTGCTTGGAGGTTAAGAAAGATTGGATGAAACAGTGTCCACAGAAGCCACTTCAGTACATTACATTGTCACATCACTAATTGAAGCATACAAGAGTTTATGAGTTTTTTTTTCTTTCTGTAAAAGAATGTGTTCAGTCTGCTTTTGACTCTTAGTAGCTTCTTCCCTTGTCCTTTCAACATTCCTTTTAGACTTGTACATATTTGGGGGCCACGTGTATATCCTTGGTCAGTGGCCAGGATATATCTTTATATATGCTAGAAAAATCTTTATAGTTTATTCCTGATTTTTTTAAGTTTGTCAAAAAGATTATATTAAATTATATTAAATTTAATATATAAAAATTATATTAAATATGCAAATAATTTTTTAAAAAGAGTGAGGTTAAAGAGTCTCAGAATATCTTATGGATGCAAATTTCAGAATGTATAAGATTTGAGAATATAATCTAATGTCAAATTAATGTAAGGCCCTGGGTTCGATCCTCAGCACCATACAGTGTTTTCTACCATGTTATGGCTCCAGTATCTTGGGCCATGTAATGAAGGTCCAGTAACATTTCATCCTACCATGCCCAAGGATCAAGGCTCACAGAAAGGAATCTGGTTAACTTTCTCCCTGTTAGACTAGGAGGAAACAAAAATAAAAGGAATATTTGTTTCAAATTGATTTTACATATTGGAAGTGAAGCACATGACTTCATGCATTCAGACTGTCTTCCATCTGGAATATACATTCCAGATAATGTAAGTACCAATTTACATGCCTCTGATGGAGGAATATATAAAAATGATGAGGTTTACATGAACTCAGCCACATTACTACTTCCAGGGAAAGGCAAAGACTTCATTTGAGGAGTTAGCGATGTATTTGGTCTAGACATATTCTTATATCCCATGGGAGCCAGATCCAGCTTTGTTAAAGGGACTGCTGTATTGCTACATTGTTCTTTGCTACACACTGTTTGTAGTAGAAATTCTAAACCTGGTGTTAATGGAAATGTAACAGACTTAGACCCATAGGAAGCTGTTCAGGGATTGCTGCCCAGATTTGGTAATTCATGAGTACTGTCGTCCTAAACCTAGAACCTCTCTTTGGGCAATAAAAGGGGGATATTGAAGTTGTGAAACAGGTTGGTATCAAGCTGAATAAGATAGGTCTCTTTCTCTTGGGTTTATCTTCTTGCTCATAGTTTACTGAGTCTTTGAAGGGAGAAAGAAAGAATGCATATGGATTAGTTGTCAGGACGCAGAGAATCTAGGGATTCTGAAACTGAACTTTGTCCTTGGAAGAAAGGTCTCATCTCAAACACTGGATTAGGTCATATAGTTTCTCCTGCTTTTGTAATTTGTAAAAACTCAGCATGCATCTGACCTGGCCTTTTCAACATATAGAAATAAATTTAGCTTGTCTGACTTTGTACATAGTTTCACAACTGTAATGTGAGTACTAGGCAGTAATTACTACTGGCTGCTCCTCTCTGAGATGATTATCTCTTTATTTAGATTCCTGGCAGTTAGAGTTTATGACTAAATCTTCCCTATTCAAGTGACTTTGATTGAGAACATCACCTGGCCTTTTCGGTCTGCCTGGATCCATGGACTGTAACTCCATTTTTTTGAGTTAACATGTGTCACATGCTTAGAACTTTATTAAAGTTAGGGTCATCTTAGCAATTAACAGCACAAAGTCCAGGGGAGGGGAGTAATTGACATTAAACACCCAATACATGGCTCTAGACTATATTTAACCAGCTATTGAGAAAGACAGCACTGATTGTTCCTCACAGATCAAATTTGACATTAGATTATATTCTCAAATCTTATACATCCTGAAATTTGCATCCACAGGATATTCTGAGACTCTTTAACTTCACTCTTTTTTAATTTATTTGCATATTTAATATAATTTTTATTAAATTAAATTTAATATAATTTAATCTTTTTGACAAACTTAAAAAATCAGAAATAAACTATAAAGATTTTTCTAGCATATATAAAGATAAAAATGTTATTAAAAATAAATAAGTTTCTGCAAATCAATTTCCAAAAGAAAAACAGTTAGAAATTAAGTAAAAAAGTGTCTTTTTAAAATGTAACCAACAATTTTGATGAAAGTGGAACTTGTATAAGGCTACCCTGTTTGTTGAATACATCAACCCATAGGGAAGTACATAGCTGTGTGTGCTGCACGTAGTATTCAATCTTAAATGAGCTGCAAGTGACATTTATTTGACTTAAAATACTGAACACGAGAAGTTAATATATTTTGTCTGAAACTGTTCCATTGACCAATAGCACTCGTTTTTAATTCAATCAGATAAATTATAATGTTACTCATATATCTATATTAAAGTAAAAGGAAAGAAAGGAGGAAGGAAGAAAAGAAAGGAAGGAGAGAGAGAAAAATAAAGGATAAAGGAAAGAAGGAAGGAAGGGAGAGAGAGAGAAGCAGGAAGGAAGAGAAAACAAATAAATAAAATACTGAGTAAATGAACAAATGATCACTTTTGTTCTAAGAAAATTCCATATGTGCTTAAGCTTTGTTAGGGTCAGAAGTATACATAAAATTCCTATGTTTAAATTCTAACCTCAACACCGAAGCATATGACTCTACTTGGAGATAGAATCTTTTTTTTTTTTTAATATTTATTTTTCAGTTTTCGGTGGACACAACATCTTTATTTTATTTTATGTGGTGCTGAGGATCGAACCCAGGGCCCCGTGCATGCCAGGCGAGCGCGTTACCACTTGAGCCACATCTCCAGCCCCGAATCTTTTTTTTTTTTTTTAATATTTATTTTTTAGGTATAGATGGACACAACACAATACCTTTATTTTTATGTGGTGCTGAAGATTGAACCCGGGCCCTGCCTGTTCTAGGTGAGCGCTCTACCATTGAGCCACAACCCCAGCCTCAGAGATAGAATCTTTAGAAAGGAATTAAGTTAAAATAAGGTCATTCAGGTGGCCCTGACCCAATATGACTAAAGCCTTTGTGAGAAGTGTGTGTTAGGACATACACCCAAAGGAAAGATTTTTTTTTCTCCAGAAATACTTTTGGTCCTTTATGTTATTTCACTAATAATTGACAACTTTTAAATGAAAAATCTTGGGAGGAGAACATTGGTTTAAACGAACAATGAATTTAAATCTATTCTCTTGTATTTTCCATTCTTATTACTCCAGCATGTGTTTATATTTTATATGTGTTCCTATATGTAACAACATATTGTGTAAACAAATAAAATGTTAGTAATGAATAAGATTTCTGTTCTATAAGAGGGGAGTTTTATTGAGTCAAACGTTAGGGCTTACACAGCTTTTTTCTCTCTTTTATTTTAATTAAATTATTTATTCTAATTTGTTATACATGATGTCAGAATGAAATTCATTTCATATTATGCACATAGAGCACTTTAACTTCACTCTTAAGTCTTGAATCTGTTGAATAACATGAGGTCTGTTAATTTGAAAGTGGTTTTAATTATTCCATATATTTCAGTGCCTATGTAGTATTAAATATCTGCATAAACAGCTTTCAGCTTCAGTAAGATCAAATCAGTAGGTACTTAGCCGTCTGTTTGTTTGGTTTTTGTGGTTGATGAATGTTTCTGAGGCTCAAACCCAGGGCCTTATGCATGTTTGGCAAGTACTCTACAACTGAGCCATACCTCCCGACATCTCTAGTTCTTCCTTTCTTTCTCCTTCCCTTCCTTCCTTCCTGTAAGCAAAACTAAAGACTGTACAGAGATATATCATGTGCCCCCCCACTCATATATAGGCTTCTCATTATTAATATCCCCCACCAGAGTGGTACTTTTGTTATAATTGATATAGTCAGTAGTTTACATCAGGGTTTACTAGTGGTGTTTATGTTTTATATGTGTTCCTATATATACAACTGTGTATTTAGACAAATGTATAGTGATATGTTTTCAACATTATAGTAACATACAGAGTATTTTCACTGCCTTCACTGATCTATTCTCTGCCAATTAATACTTCTCTCCCTCTAACCCCTGGCATCCATCAATCCTTTTACTGTCTCTATAATTTTGCCTTTTCCATATCATGTAGTTGAAATCATACGGTATTTTGCCTTTTCAAATTAGCTTCTTTTACTGGTATTTAATGGCTCAAGATTCAAACAGCAGGAGTACTGCTTCTCAGTGAGGTGGGTAAGAGGGAATTCACTGAAATTCAATATTGTAGAGTCAGAGTCCTTTAGAGGCTCTGAGCCAATGAACAAAGAACAAGAATTAGTCGGAGCCAAGCCTGTTAAGGCAGCAGCAGCAACACTGGATAAACACAGAAGGGAATGCTAACACGTAGAGAGAAACACACAGTGGATAAATTTGGAGAGAAAAAAACCTGTAGATCAGGGGCTGGGGATATAGCTCAGTTGGTAGAGTGCTTGCCTGTCAAGCACAAGGCCCTGGGTTCAATCCCAGCACCATAAATAAATAAATAAATAAATAAATAAATAAATAAATAAATAAAACCTGTAGATCAGAAAAGCAAACTGAACTTAGCTGATCCAGAGGCTGCTCAGTGAAAAGGGAGCCATATTTCTTTCTTTTTTCCCCCCATTTTTATAATAATTCTTTTGAATTCTTTATCTGATATTTTATCTACTTCAGTATCTTTGGGGTCAGTTTCTGGTGAATTATAAACTTAAGGAGGTGGTGTGTTACCTTGGTTTTTTATATTTCTTATGTTCCTAGTTGGGTTTTATGTATCTATTAGAAAGGATTTCTATTCCACTCTTATATGTAGGCCTTTTTAGGGCACAGTCTTCACTTGCCAAAGTGTCCTAGAGCTATCTGGATTGAGACCCCCTTGTAGGTGTGGTTCCCACAACCTCTGTGTTAATTTTCTGTTATTGCTGTAGCAATGGACATCTGTAGTTGAGACCTAGGGGCCCACCCCTAACTGTTTCCACTTGAGATCTGGTTGTTAGTTTGAGTTTTTGTCTCTTGTATTCTTTATATTGAA